GGGAAGCCTTGGGTAGACTGGCGGGCAAAGCCGCCGAGGCCCTGCCTGGCATCTTGGGCAGCATCGTTCTTGGTTGCTGGGCTTGTTGTCGAAAACAGTCACGCGTGGCTCGGCCAGAACCTGTGGGTGTTCGTCGTCTGTGTTCCCACCGACCAACGTGGTGGGAGTTTTGTTCGTATTCCTGATACCACGAAATCCGTTATAGTATCAAGGGTTTATTCATATGCCAATTTCAACCTCATTAGCTATAAATATATTAAACAAAGATTGACGGCGGACCAATTGAAGCTAATTTCCTAAACTTGTCATATACTCGAGATGGGATTGTATCCAGCCATGGAAGACGTGGCCCAAATGCACGACACCGAGGATGGCAGATCTGTGAAATTAAACACCAATTGGAACGAGAATGCGACATGCGACTCGGATTGCACAAAATGTACCATCGAGCCGTCAAGGTCATCGACGGCGTGGACACATCTCTCGTGGCAGCTGGCATGGGATTGGGCGTAGCAGGCGTCGGCTTATTATCCACCATTGTGGCCGCACCCGTCGTCCTCAGGTTAGAAATAGCTGCCAGGGTATCGGGGTTGGCAGGAGTAACCCTGAAATTCATTTCGTGTCGTCTGCAACGGAAGGCCATAAAACACGACGAGATCAGGGTTCTGGCCGAAGCCAAGCTAAACACGATCGACAATCACATTTCCACTGCGATCACCGATAGCAAAATCTCCGAGGAAGAGTTTCGTTTGGTGATGTCGGAAATCGCGAAATTCCACAGAATGAAAGAAGCGATTCGAACCAAGACTCGGAAAACCGCTGGCATCAGCGAAGACGAGAAAAAAAAAAGCTCATAGAACAAGGTCGACAACAAATCATTCAAACCTTCCTTACCCAGAACAAAGATACCATAAAAGATTCACATTAAACTGCTTTGTAGATATCATTATGACCTAGTCAAAATACTAGTAATAAAAATATTTTTAAAAAATAACAAAATGTTCTGTGATTTGAACGCTAAAACTCTAGGTCTGAAGTCCGGCATGTTCCCTTCAGAGTACAAAAAAAAAAATGTTCTGTCTGGGATTTGAACGCTAAAACTGTAGGTCTGAAGTCCGGTATGTACCCTTCAGACCGGCAATTTCACTCTGTCAGGGATGGTGTATTCAAGCTATATATAGCTCATACGCTTTGTGAGCTTATGTAACCCGATCTAAATTAGTTGATTTTGGCTTCTAAACATGTTTTCAGCATCCATCGACGCATGCATCGTGATCAGCGTGATCTAGACTACCTAAGAGCATCGTGATTGTATTTTATTACACCTTCATTCGAGGTGAAAAGCCACCAAACGTGCACGAGGCGAGCGAGACTGGTTCTGCGCTACTGTAGCTAGTATAGACGGAACCGAGCTCAAGATAAATAATGGATTGTGGCCTCTGCAATGTTTTTCAGCGTTCATCGACTAATGTATCATATTCAGCGTTCTTCAAACTACCTACGGGCATCGTGTTTGTATTTTATGAGACATGGATTCGAGGTGAAAAAAGACACCAAACATGCACGAAGAATTGAAGCGGAAGTGGAATGATGGGTTTCAGACATCCTTTGTGCTACTATAGACGGAGCCCGGTTTAAGGGGATGATGCAATCTCAGGATAGAGCCATTAAACCAAGCACTTGGCTACCAGGTCCTCTGTGGCTCAGTCGAACGACTGCTGGGGTACGATCAAGGTACAGAGTTGCGCATCTCTGTCACCGAGGTTCGAAGCCTGCCATTCAAAAAAAAAAAATACACAGAGCTCTCAGGGAGAGCACAGATGAGACATCCATGTCTGTATTGATGCTGGAGGAGAACTGAGCAGTTGTAAGATCTTGCCTCATATGTCTGTTAAACGTTCTAGTGGTGGATAGATGTAGCATACTCTTGCATCTAAAATTGCTCCTAAGAATTTGATCCTGGGTGTTGGTGAATTAACAGTCCCAGGTGGGTGAACACGTGAATGATAAAATCTGTCGGTCTCACTAAAATATGTGTCAGGATGTTCCAATCCAGGATGTCGTCCAGATATTCATGAATAGCAATTCCTCTGCGATGCTTATGTTCATGATGGGATACATGATCACTGAGCCAGGGCACTAAGGATATGCCGAATGGATGGAAGAACCCGGAACTGATATCTGAGAACCACTGACGGTGAAACAGAGTTATTTCTGGGATCGAGATATGAAGATATGCATCCTTGAGATCTAGTCTTACAAAATGAGAGTTCTGGCGGCTTCAAGTGAGTAGATTTGCTAGAGATTCCATCTTGAATTTGGGAGGCTTCCTGAGAAAGTTCTTATTGAGGATCTTGAGGTCTATAATCATGCGCATTTCTCCTGTGTCCTTCTTGGGAACCAGAAATACTGAAGTCCAAGATATTTTTTATGGATTAATCCATAAAAAATATCTTGGACTTCAATGTACAACTTCTAAATGCCACTGAAAGACATCAGAAATACTGGAGAGTAAAAACTCTTTGATGTGTCTTAGGTTGACAGTTCTACTATTGCCTCCTTCTGTATTAATTGCTCATGTTCCCTGTAGAAAAAATCTGTGGCCTGTGGAATGACAAGTCACTGATGGCAGAATGTCCTAAGGAAGATGTATCCTCTTTTTTAATCACTGATAATATCAAGTTGTCTCATGTGATCTGCTTCCAGTTCTCTAGAAACATCGATAGTCGACCCCCTACAGATGAGGGGATGACTAGGAGTGTGAAATCGCACTCCCTATATACATCTGTGGGCATTGCCGAATTGTAAGGAAGAGAGAAGTTTGTTGTGAGATTTGAGTCAAAACTTTTTGCCGCCCAGTTTGGAGGCGCAAAAAGGACCTATGTCCTCCTCCCTGACCTCTATTACTGAGGGAGCTATTCCGTATGGATGATGATCGGGAACCAGAATCAGCTCATCTGTCAAATGCCAATCTCTGACAGGCTACTGAACAGTGAGATTCCGTAGAAGAAGGATAAGATCCTCTACTGCCCCTTGGTGCACCTCTTGGTGTACTTCTAGATCTACTCTGTGCTAGGAGAGCCGTGGCTAACTTCTGATTCAGATTTCTCAAGGTTAATGTATCTCTAGCGTCTATAGACGCCTGGCATTGGCTGTCGAGTCAATCTATCGCCCAGGCTACCCGTGATTACCGTTTCCCTATACTGTACATTGGCCATTGGCCACCAGTAGTGGTTGCGATTTTTAGCCGTATGGGCTGGCCCGTTCACAGACCGCTGGCTCAGACCCGTTGGGTTCTCGCAGCACCGACCCCTCCGTGCGGCTAATGGTATCCGGCCGAGTGGGTTTAATTATAGTGGAAAAACCCCGGGACAGACGGCAGATCCTGTGCAGCTTGCGCCATGGGCAAATCCTGCCATCTGTTGAAACACTCGAAACCTTCAGCATCTCCCACCGTGGGGATCGGCGTTCAGCTTCAGGTTTAGGGTGATAAGGGTGCAGACTCTAGACCTTGGCTCTAGACCTTGGCTCATGGTGGTGTCATACAAGTCTTTTTGGTTCAAGGCCATCTGAGTAAGGGGATCAACTGATTGATCTATCTGTCGTTGAAAACTTAGGAATTTTGCCTCATTCTGATGTTCCAATTCAGCTAGAGACTTGTTCATGGACTCATTTATATCCTCTTTAAAAGATGTAAACAAGGCTGTAATGGTGGTGATATCTAGCTGACCCGAAGATGAGCATGATTTGGTTTTTGATTTTTTCTCAGGCTCCGATTAAGTGGGAGTTGAAGGAAAATGCAATGAGGATTCTGTGCATTTCATGGGGTCAGCTTGCATTCATTCATATTAATCCAGTCCACTAAAGATAATTCTTGACAAAGCAGGCATCTAACATCAAGAGTACACGAAGGTCAAATGAGACAAGCCATGCAAAGTGAATGGAGGTCCAAATCAAACATAAATATCTGGCATTGTTGACATTTACTCTGCGACATGATTTGTGTGGGAAAAATACTGAGTCCGTATCACAAGTCAAATAGACAATTTAACATAAAGGTTATAGTGAAATTGTTCTTAAATGCGACAACATTTACCTAGTTCTTATGTGATGATCCTTGAAAAAACTCTCTGATGCGTGGTCCATACAGAAAAATTATGACGGTTTTCAAACAGTCGATCTGTGACCTCACAGCCAAGGGAGATAATGCATCCCGAAACGGCATAAAAATTGTCAAAGATGGCGGCAAGGGGAGACGAACAGGCCTTGGTAAATAATGTTTTTCGTCACTATGAGTCTAATCTTGAAACTTTGATATCGGTTTGTAGTGCATCAACCCCCTATTGTAGTAAGCTTCAAACCTGTGTTCATTCTTCTCAGTGTCAGGCATGGGATTCTGCACAATGTGGTCCCTAGTTCGACCGGGGAGGGTTTGTACTTTGTTGTCAACATGTTGTGCAGCTGTTTCTCTTCAGTTTTGTAAATAAAGTATTCATAGCGTCACATTCAACGTAAATATAAATAGGTCATTTAAAACATTGATCAATCTCTGTGAATTGCACATCTAAGTGGTCATTTTGTCTTTGACCATAACAGGAAAGGAACTCAATCCACTGATTAGGGCAGGGATTTATGTTGCAAGTCCACATGATGCAACTTTTTGAGACTTACAAGAACAAATGCAGTTTTGTACGCTTGGCGACTGTTCTCGGGCGCTTTTGTAGCTGATAAGCGAGTTTTGTTTCCATTTCAAATGATTAGTTTTCCATTACAAATGCGTTTGGTTTGGTTTTAGAGGATATTGTGGCAGTTTTGGAAGTTTATTTTCCTATTTTGGTGATTTTTGTTCTGTTTGGTGTATATGAGTTCAGTTTTGAGGATTTGTTCACTGTTTGTATGGTAGGCCTGTTACAGGGGGCAGCTTAAATTGAGGTAGCAGCAAAACTGACTGGTGTTTCACTTAGTACATACTGCCTAGTACCTCAGTGTAATCAACTCACTTTTCTTTCTCCTGTTCAAGCATACTTTCAGTGGCTTTCTTGGCATCAAGTGCTTTCCTGGATTTCTTCTTTTCCTGAAGATAAACGTGGCAAAAGCTATGCAATATGTCTTGAGTATAAGTATGACATATGTAGAGAACAACACAATGTGCATCATTTAAATATTGAACAAGGATTATGAACCTTTACAGAGTGAGGGCCAAACTGTATGAACATCTGAACTAATTGACAACATTTGTCCCTCACTCTATAAAGACTTTCATATCTTCCAGAGTCAGTCAGGTATCCTAATGGTAAAGTGTTGGCTCGTCACGCCGAAGACCTGGGTTTGAATCCCCATATGGGTACAATGTGTAAAGCCCATTTCTGGTGTCCCCTGCCGTGATATTGCTGGAATATTGCTAAAAGTGACGTTAAACCATACTCACTCACTCATTCATTCATATGCTCCATCAAAACATACCAAGCGATAGTTATTCCTTACAATTTTTACATCCCTTTTTTGAACATGGAAGAATGTATGCAGTCTGGGAATTAGTATTATTTCTAACCCCAGTCTATTATCTATATCACATATCACATATCATTTTATCCCCCCAAAATTGGCTTTCTGCTCACCAACATGAAAAAATACTGGGAGAACCACCTTTCTCAAAGCTTGGAATGACCCACGAAGATTCATTCAATTTTTGGTATTTTTAGATAGTTCCAAACACAGATAACCTCAGTTATTTCTTTGGAACTATTTTGACAATTGTAATATGTGATGTTAATAGGACATTATTAGTTAGACATTGGTAGGTATTGACACTGTCTTGTCATAATCTCCTATTAGGAATGTGAGTGGTCAAATTTCAAGCAGGTCACAAAAGGCAGCAAACAAATTACAGCAATGGATACCATTGGATACCATTATTAAGACAAGAACACATTGATTGAATCATATTATCTAAATCATGATACATGTTAAAATTATGGAACTTTGTGGACATCACACTTGGCACTATGGCAAAGATTTCTCATGCATATATATCGGCATACTCTCTGAGTGAAAAAATTAGGGTGACTAATACAGAGATGTCATTTAATTTACATTCAGGCGCGTTCCCATGTTGCAATTTGTTGCATAAAATTTGTGGATTGCAACAAATTTCAAAATGTGAACTCCCGAGTTGGACAAATTTTTGTTGCATCCAACTGTTGGAAGCGAGTTGCAAGCAATAGAGCTTGCTCTATTTTCATGCGACAAAGTGGATGCTTGTAGCCAATCAGAGTGCATTTCGTTGTCACGTGACATTAACAATGGCAATGCCGGTTCGGTCAAAGAAGACAGAGTTGACAAGGGCAGAGACAGAAAAAAGTTTATTTCATACTATCAGTCTCACGATTGCTTATGGCATATGAGTAGCCCATTTTACTCCAGGAGGGAGCACCAAACAGGCAGCCTACACTTCAATAGCACAGTTGATGGGTGACTGTATGACAGGTGAGTTTCCGCAGACTTCATTTCCGAGCGTTTCCCTTGCGTATTCATTTTCTAAGTGACCCGTAAAGGTCCGGGTTAGAATTGATCTTCAGCAACCCATGATTGTCGTAAGAGGCGACTAACAGGATTGGGTGGTCAGGCTCACTGACTTTGTTGACACGTCATTGGTTCCCACTTGCGCAGATTGATGCTCATGCTGTTGATCACTGGATTGTCTGGTCGAGACTTGATTATTTACAGACCGCCACCATATAGTTGGAATATTGCTGAGTGCGGCGTAACACTAAACTCACTCACTCACTCATTTTCTAAGTCTAAAATTCAAATAGCACATACTGTAGGGATCAGGAAATTGAATTTGTGTGCTTTATAGTTTATATTTTCACTTTACACAGCAAAAGCGAGAGCACATGCATTTGTTGACATGCTGTCAAATTGTAACCCATAATTTCAATGAAGGTCCCGATGAGTGGTAAAAATGAACTATTGTAATCAGTTGAAACTGTGAATGCAGTTATCAATGCAGGCATTTTAAGTGTATTGACATTTGGTAATTGAAACTTGTCAACAACCATGTTAATAACTGACAATGTTTGTAAATTAAATGTTTACTCATTTCTACAATTTGTAACCAAGTTACTGACCAAAATACCATAGGAAGATATTTTATGAAATATCCGATGTAATATACACCAAAACAAAACATCATCTGCAAATTTATAAAAAAATTATTGTTTTGCATAGTGTTTGTTGAGAGAAAACATATAATGTACATAAAATTATGGGTATTTGAACACATGTATTTTGAATGACATGTTTAAATATTATCACAGTGTTGTTTAACAACAAATTGATATTTTTCAGAATTGATGGGTTAAGATAGAGCTATAGAGAATCTCATCTGAGTGTTTTCAGATGTCAAACATATCAACACGAGTATATAATTTTTCAATGTTATCAGGCAGTGCAAACATGTAACTATTTATCATATCATTAGGCAAAGTAGGAGAAAAGTAACCTGTCAATATTTTGAAGAGTGTGTCCTTATTAATAGTTTCATTCACTAATAAATGTCAAATAAGGACAAAAGTAATAGAAAAGAAAAGTTCATTGGAAAATACCAGCAAAACAACTTTAGCAACTTGTCTCAGGGATGTGAAAGTAGGTCTCAAAGAATCAGTCAATCAACACTTAACAGTATTGGATGATAAATGAAATAACTAATGAATTAGGAAGAAATGAAATATGCATAAATGTGACAAAGCTATTTAATGCAGACTGTGTAACAGTTTAAATACTACACGGTTAATACCTGGATTGAAAATATATGTTTATTAAAGGTCACATGCAACCAAAAAATCAAACATAATTAAAATACAATTATCACTTATTCATGACATATAATATACATTGCTCGTTACGAAAAAATATGTAAACAAAATTATAAGCGTACAATCGCAAATCGAAAGTGCAAAATTGTGTACTTCGGTTTACTTCCCAAGAAACGAAGCAGCGAGGATACCGAACCCAGTCAGAGCGGGTGGGTGTGCACTCAAGTGTAACGCCTGGTTCATTTGCAGATGCCTTCACGGCTAATTGTGTGTATATATAGAGAGATGTTGGGTTTTGTAAATACATGCTCATTTTTTGTGTATAACATTTTGCAATCAACAGACATCATAACATGTCATGTGTTCAAGTATCACACCTGCCTGTCTGTGTAATTACATAATGTGACAGAGACCGAACTCGGGCCATAAATCAATGCATTTTGTTTATGGTGTATAGCCTGATTGGTGTTAAGTTCAAATTGCATGTGGTCAGTGATAGCAGCTGTGTATTGAATATTGTCATTAGCAGACAGGCAGGCAGACACACAGGTGTCAATAAAACAAGACATTGAGTTTTGTCTGTGACAACGACATATCTGTATCACAGTTAGAAATTCTGTCAACGCTAAATAATGACATTGCTTTTAAGTATCGAACTGAGAAAGTGTCTCTCGTAAGAAGAACGTGTGGTGAAATAGACAAATGAAATTATATAAACAGTTAATTTACTGTCATAACATATAAAAGCTCACGCCTGTGAGATATCAACAAAACATTAGAAAAATAGCTCACACCAAAGCCTTCACCGAGTATTCACCCGACAACCCGCTTCCAAGCTGCGCGAACCTATTTACTTGCGCACGTGCTATGAGCGCAGCCCAGCTGTTGAAATCCGTTTTCCCCAGAAAAGTCTGGGGAAAATTAGTGAAACGTTTGAACTCCGATTTTGCGCGGTTTTTTTCATTTGCGTTATTTTTCAACTTTATAAGTTGAATTTGCATTTTTGACGATTTGTTTCGGTATGTCCATACCAAAAGGTATCAGAATCTGCAAAGTTGTGTTTTACGTTGCATGTGACCTTTAACAAATTTATGAATATTATAATAATGAAACATGTCAAAGTCAAACTTGCACAAACATTGTCTTTATGTTTGAGCTGATCAAGTTCCACTCAAAATATCTGCCTTGAGAACTTACTACTCAAAGTAGCTAAGGAAAGAGGTCCAGTCAAGGAAAAGGTGTCTTACCGGGAGGGTTCACTCCCAAAAGACAGACCTCCCAAATGACAGACCACCCATAAGACAGACTCAGTGAGTACACTAATTAGCTGAGCCATGCTGTCCACCCCTATTTAATTAAGAAGCTGACCCAGAGTCACTACAGAATATAGTAACAACACAGTCCTACCTCTTGTGCCCTTCTCAAAACATATTACTAATCCTTTTACTGAACAGAATAGAACCGAAATTTTATTCTAAAAAATCACATATACTGACACAGAGAACATACAGTGTATTGATACATATTAAAACATTTAACAAAGTCCAGTTTTGATAGATTTGGCAACTTTAGAGTTAACTGGTGAATAATCACATTTCATTAGATAAACAACTTTTTCAATAGGATGTTTACAGAAATATTAGGTAAGAAATTGATTTCTGAGGGTATTTAGTGCTGGACAGTATAATAAAAAGTGAAGTTCATCACAGACAACTAAATTCACAATATGTTTCGATTCTTTACAATACTGGTCAAACACATTCAAAGATGTTTGCAATCCATCACTGTTTCAGCTAATATGACAGTATCGTCAGCGTAAAGTAATATCAACAATTTCATAAAGATACCAAGCTGGTCCTCAATAGGCTTATTTACATGTCTGAGGCCAGTTACACCAAGATCATACAAGTAATAAATAACTGGAGAATAGGACATTTTTATAACAGTTGTTGACTTTTTTTCTGATCACCCTTCTAGATGGCTACCTGTATGCCAAGAACAAGGTGAAAGGAGAAAATGATGATGTTCAGGTGACTTTCTGATAAGTGTTATCTGTGCCCTGACAAACGTGATGTAAAATAATATGGTGCTTGGTATCATATGTTTGATAGGTGCATGTATATAAATTATCGTTTTTGATAATATTCACAAGTAAATGTGATCTGGCAAATATATGTTGATGCAAATATGTCTTAATATAAAAATCATAATTCATTACATGAATCGATAAAACTATAGTTAATACCTAATGTTGTCC